TGCAGCTCCGTAGCGAAGTAACACACGTGCCAGAAAACTCCAGGACCAAGTTTAAACGTGAGCCAGCGAGCACAGCGGGTGGGAGAGGAAAGGGAGGTACTAGAGGCAAAATATCAATGAAAAGGATATTTTAAAAGCCTCTGGAGGACAAACAGATTTTTATTTTTTTTTAAGGGAAAGCCCCTGTAGTTTACAGCAGCTGCAGACTAGTGTAATCCTCTGCAGATTACAGAAACTATTGACCTAATAATCCTGCTGGATATTGCAAAAAAACCCAAAAGCTAGGAGTGTGAAAGGTCAGGGTACGCTCCCGAGCGACCTGGCCCACTCATTCCTGCACTGGGTGGGGTGCCTGTCTTCAGCGTGGGATGAAATTAGGTTCATGGGGAAAATTAAAGAACTTTGGCTTTGGATGCAGGACCCGGCCTGCTGAAGGTGAGGACTCGGGACGAGTACACGAAGGAACCCTTAGAATATTGCAAAATTAACTGGACATCAGTAACAGTCTGTCAAGTCTCTCACTTGTGAGGGTTTTGGGGTGGTTTGGTTCATTTTGCTTTCATGTTTTTTTGGGTTTTATTTGAAGTTAGCCTGAGCTGTTTGTGACAGAGGAAGTGAAGTCACGCCGCGGTGGCACATACAGGTTTGGCTCTCAGCGGAAGGGCAGGACGGGGGAAAGTTTTGCACAAACAGCATGTGAGAAGGAAAATTAAGCAAACTTTTTCAGCGCTTTTTTTTACACCCTTTAAAGAGAAGCAAAAACTGCCTCTTCTGGTTCTGCACCGACCTGCAGAGAAGATGAAGTCAACTTCTAGAAACAACATCAATTCCTACAGCCACATTAGGTGAGGAGGTGAATGAGTTTGAGCCCTGGGCTTCATCTGTGTCCCTACTCTCGTGTCACTGCAGGAAAAGGCATTTTGCACATCTGTTTCTCGTGGCTGCAAGACCTTCTGCACGGCCAGCTGGTCCTGGCTCATCCTGTCCTGGTACCATGCCTTAGCTCCCTGCCATCAGGTTGGCGTCCCAGGTCACTGCGAGGGCTCCGGTTCAATTTTTGAAACAATCTGCTCCATCAAACGAACTCTACTCTGCCCATTACATGCAAACACATTAGTATTCACCTTCTGATGATGCAAATTTTCTGTGTCTGAGAAAGGCCATCTGATACCATCTACAAGCCTTTATATAATCAAATATTTTCCAGCTGAATTAAAAAACCTGCAGCACATTACAGTCATTCAGCAGAATATCAAGCATGAATATTTAAGTAATTCCTTATTTGCTGGCACGAGAAAATCATTCTTCAAAGAGAACACCAGAAGAGGCCACAGAAGGTATCTGCATGCCACAGTCACTTTAAAGCAAGTCTTTCTGAGAGCAATTCAGAGCGGAGAAGATGGGGACCCCCTGTTCCATTCTTCTGCAAAAGAAGAGGGAAATTTGGCAAGAAACCAGCAAATGGGGCAGAGAGGCCACTGCCATCACCTCCACCCCATCGCGGGTCTGAGCACAGCTCTCGTGTCACACCGGACGTATGAAACGGGCCACGTCCTGGAGAACTGAGAACAAGGCATAAAGAGGAAACACTTGAACACTTGCAGATGACAAGTATTTAATTCTATCTCGAACCACTTCAAGTGAGTTGTATTTGCCAACTCAAAAGGAATCTGTTGGCTTCGCGCTCCGACTGGCAAGGGCAAGAGGGGACAGAGGCCAACGCGTGCCCCGAGGAACACCCGGCATGGGACGAAGGAACTCCACGAGCCCGCGCTCCCACAGAGAAGAAAGCAGGTGGTGTTTTGGAGGGATCCATTCTGCTTTTTCTTCTGCTGGGATCAAACAGTGATGTGCTAATACCTGCACAGAGGTGGTCTTGCAAGGCTGAGCTGTCCTAAGCATTGCTCCTCACCATCTATTTTTACTCTCTACCTCCAAATAATTTCTGAATGCATCAGATGCGACAGTGAAGTTAAGGAGCGTATCACAACACACCTACCAAGTGCCTTTCATCAGAAAAATCTCAATGCAGCTACAAGCAGTTAAATGTCCAAAGCTGTCCAAGCCACAAAGCCCAGCAGTACCCAAAAAAAAAGATGTCTTCCTTCCCAGTCCCTTGTTTCAATCCCTACTCTAAGGATCTCAAATACCACACCTGCTCAAGGTTTATAAGCAGCTCACAGGGTATTTGCACCTTGTACGAATCTGAGGTTTTATTTATATGAAAACGCTTCTAGCTTTCGAGAGGACCAAAAGTTAACCTTCCTTGTGCAACAGAAGGGCTGCAGGCGGTTCAAAGTCATGGCTGCAGGGAATCAGCCCTCTTCGTCCCAGAAACATCGGTTAGATAGGATCTCCAAGCCGTGCCCTGTGCCTCAACGCGTATCCAGTTGATGCTGATGAGATCTTTTGTGGCAGAGGGTAAGATCCTACATCCTTGAGTGCCAAGGCACACATGGTCTTTAAAAACATACTGTACTTTTTTGAGAGAAGCTGACACTTCTGCAGAACGCCACACGATTTCCTCTACCTCTTCACTTTTTTCTCATTTTCACGTTGGCTAACGAAGAGTTCAAAGCAGATGAACAACCACACATCCTTTAAAATCAGATGAATTTATTCAGTGACAGACTGTTCAGGAAGCAGGACTCCTAAACCTTTATTGAAGAAAAGCAAAGAAAACAGGATGCTAAATTACCTGTGCCAGGACAGAAAAGCAATTAAAAATGGGAAGGCTCATCAGCTCATCCAGTTTGTTTCCAGATAGTCCAGGCCAAGGTTGCTCTTCACATACTCTAGCTCTGTCCAGTTCAGTTAACAACTGTCCCAAATGATTTGGGACACATCATTTCCCACCAGAAGTTATGTGATACTTAACAGGAGATTCAACTGAGGTCTTTAGCTAGTCCTCTTCGCTTTCTTCCTCTTCACCTTCTTCCTCGCTACTGCTGGCACTCAGCTTCCCTGCATCTCAAACCTGCAGCTAACACACACCTAACATCTTCCAAACCACGGGCTGTGCGTGCTCGCTCCTTCAAGCGTGGCAAGGACTCACTTATTTCACCTTCCCACCTGCCTGCTCCCCCCCACTCCAGACACAGTCACACTAACGGGTGCCACACACATGCAGGAGTGTGCCAACACGCAGCCAGCACCACCACGGTGTCTGACCACGTGCACAGGGACAGAGGGGAAGCTCATCCCCGTGGCAGCACGTGCAGAGCAGACAACCTACCATGAACCCATGCTCCACGGAGCTGGTTCGGGCAGCTGGAGGCTCAGGTTCTCATAGACAGTTTCTGTCTACATTAGCAGCATTTGGACAACTCGTAACTGAACACTGTTGGTTTTTCTACATAATTCAATCCCTCTGGAGCCTCACAACATACTTCTCATTGCACTTGGATTAGAGACTTATTTTGCCTCCAAGAAGGCAGCTAACAGACCTCAGCCTTGCCTGCTTCTGTTGATGCTCATGTTTCAACAAGCCCTTCTTTCCGACTCGCAGCCTTTCTGGATTCTGCTTTCTGGAGGAACATTCCTGCATCCTTCGAAGTTTAGTTCTAGCCCAGTAGCAAACACTACAAACACAGAAGCTTGCTGTTTTGTTTAATATTAAATATAGCACATTTTGTTAACATGCTTCAGCTTCCAAGACTGAGAGATCACAGGCAAGAGTTGTCCCAGGATAAGCCTCTTGGGATGAATCCCCTCCCAAACATTTTAACGATGAACAGAAGCAAAGGAATTTATCTGACATGATCTATAATAAGATTTCAATATAACATTCAGCCTACAGCATTTCTAAATATGGCCAAAGATCACTGAAGTTATTTGGCATTATTTCATCTTACAAGGATTTTCTTTCACTTATTCTGCTGTGTTTGCATACACGGGATTCCACATCCATCACGGAGCAAGGTCGTCTATTGTTCAGTGGGCTCTGACTGAGGTAAAATAGGTCTCAGGACCAAGGCTGGCAGGTGCAGAATTTGGATTTTTTTAGTAATTTTTTTTAAAAGCCCTTTTGACATTTACTGGCAACCTGTAGATACAGGAAAAAATTACAGCATCACCCTTAAATCAAGGGCTGATGGGCTTGTTGCCTCCAATTCCCACCTCTTCCCAACACACACCACTGCATCCTTTGAGATATTTGAGGTGAGGAACCACCTCTGTCTTCTGCGAAGCACTACAAATCAAAACACCTCACACTGACTGGCCCTTCCTTCTCTTTCCCCTTCCCAAACACCAGACAAATGCCCAGAGGAGGGGAAAAATGGAAGAGCAATCGAAGACAAAGCCAGGAAGACACAGACCAAGTCCGTTACACGAAGTGCCATCTCAGTGCTGAAGAGGTTCTTCCCAGAAGCCTGAGGTTGCACCTTCTCAAATAGTAATGCGAGAAGAAAGTACCAATTGTGAGAATCCAGATTCTGCTGTTGTACAGGTAACAAGGCTCACTCTGCTATTTTTGCTCCAATTTTTAGCTAGGTCCTGCAGCCAAGAGAGCATCATCTCTTAAGCCAAGACAAAACGCGTAGAACGCCCGTGACTGCTCCGACACGAGCGAGGACTCTGCCCTCAGCGCTGGAACGGGAGATGTCTTCAGAAGTACAAGTGTCTCTTGCAGCAGCATTTTTAGCATGAAGCAAAGCCCACCCCAGAAGACAAAGGAAATACACTTACCATGACGGTGCAGTCCTCGGAGCCACTGGCGATGACCTGGTCATTATGAGGACACCAGTCTATGTCCAGCACCGGTCCTGTGTGGCCACACACTGTCGGGTAGGACTTGTCAATTCTGCCTGTCTGAAGGGAGGAAACAAGGAAGAGAGCTGTAATACACAGACAGCACATCTCAAGAGCGGAGGATCCTGCTTCCTAATCCTCCATTAACTCTTTCAGTATTCACAATTTCATGAAATTTGCATCATCTCACGTGTCGGTAGAGGAAAACAAACCAGCAACCCTCTTCTCCAGCACCAACTAGCTGGAAACTCCCGACGGTGCAAGGAAAGGGTTCAGAGGTTCAGCACAGGAGGGCCTTGCTGCCCCTCGGCTGCAGGGATGCTTTGCTGCCCATATCTCAGCGTCTGCTGCAATGCCGTCCCTTTGTCCATCCCCAATGTTTCAGGAAGAGGGCTCTGCCCGACCAGTGAAGCTCTGGTTTTGTCTGTGCTTCACAACAGCGGCCAGCAACAGCTAAAGATAACCAAGATAAAATTTTAATTGAAGGGTGTTGCTGGTTGTTGAATTTACCAAGTCTGCCTGTTTTCATCATAAAAGTACTTTGCTTAGGCAGAAAGTTTTTGGGAGATAGTTGTGCAGAGTAAGACACCATTTTCAGGAATAAATACTGCTGACACAGACTGCCACAGCCACCCACTCCCGATCCGTACCCGCCTCTCCATGGCCAGAGGACCACAGCCACCAGCGTGCTGCCAAAGTCAAGCTCACTACACAGATAAACTTTCCAAGAAAACAAGCTAACAACATGTTCCCATTCGAACTAAGACAAATCCAGCGATGCCAACGCAGTTGTTGCAAGGACACCAACTTTGCCAACTGGGTCTACATTTTGCTGACGGACCCCCTTAATATCCCGAAGCACCTGACCCGCTCAAACTAACCTAACACTCCACCTTCCTCTGTCTCATCTCTCTTGGTCAAGTCTTGCACGGGAAGCAGTATTTATAATGCTGAAGACACACGGCAGTAGCAGCAGGGTGAGAAGAGACTCCTGCAGGTCCAGGGCCAGAAGCCAGGTCCCACTCTGAGGGGTTCTGTTTCCAGGGAATGCTGCGATGGCCTTTTCATAAGCAATGAGAGCAGACAGACAGGACGGAGAGGTCTGGGATGGGTCGTCTTCTTCTTTCATGTTTAAACATGCAGAAGAAATGGCTTGCATTTCACTTCTGCCATTTGGTGATAACATTCCCCAACCCTGGAGGTTACATCTCTTAACACATGCCTCCTACCCATCTCCACGCAGAAGGCTGATCCTATTCAACGCTGTCCTATATACAAAGGATCAGAATAATGCTGGATGCCAGCTTTTGAAGACTGCTGATCTGAAGACCTCTATACTAGCAACAAAACAAGATATAGATCCAAATGGACTAAGTTACAGGAAAGAAACAACCACTATTTCCTAAACGGCCAAATTTACGTTTCAAAAAAAGACTCTCTCAGTGATTCAAATGCTTCTGAGATTACTACAAGTGAAAGTGTTGTAGATGAAAAGTCATAAACCAGACATTCAAAAATTAAAGTCTGTGTAATCCCTCTTAGATGCCATAATGTGAAATAGGATTTAAAAAATTAATACACCCAACTGACACGTCTAGTCCATCCATCTTAATTTGTCTAATTAAAAAAGAACCACGCAGAGCACACGCGCACGAACGTACTTCAGAAGTCACATTACAGGCTAAAGACCAATATAGACCCAAACCAAAAGAAAAATTACGACTCACACTGCGAGACGTCAGCGACTACCTGCTCTTACTCCTCAGCAGGGCTCAGAGTAATCCTCTAAGAGCAGCCCATGGTAATTATTTGCAGGCTGCACGAGTGCTTGTCAGTTTAGTTTAGAGTTTTCACAGTAATTTATTACTGCGGGGAGGAAAAAAAAAAAAAAATCAATTTGAACAAATTAAACCACAAACTTCACCTTTCAGTTTTGATCACGATGAACCTGAACAGCACGAGCAGCAGCAGGCAACTGCCTGTGACAGCCCGCTGACCGCAGGGACCAGGCAGCCCCACCGCCTGCTTTTGATCACCTATGATGGAGCTCATTTTCTAAGCCAGCTATCTTGTACACCCATTAGCTCGTCACACCGCGGTGCTCCGAGGGCAGTGAGGAACAGGAGATGACGGAGGCCCAAAAGCAGAAGGGACCAGCACAGCCACAGGCTTCCAGGTCCCAAGGGGAAGTGGGTCCCCTTCCCTTGGCAGGCGAAGCAGCAAGCTAGAGTAAAGCTCAGCCTTGTCACCAAGCTAGAAAAAAACTCAGTCTTGTCATCAAGCTGAGAACTGGAGACAGATCCACAGGCGCGGCTGTTTTGGACAAGGACGGCACACATTTCTCAGGCCAGAGCCACCTGGGTCAAGAAGAAACGGCAGATGCACAAAGAGGAAGTTAAACCAAACTCAGCAGAAAGATCTTTGCATCGTGCTACAGGTGAATAGATGCTTATCTGCATTATCTGCAAAGTGCACCCTTTTCCTGCCCGGATGTGGACAGTGACATAGAAAAACCATTTCTAAAAGGGAACAGACGGAGTAAGGATGGGGAAAACCAGATGTTATTTAGAAGCAGTGTGGGAGATGCAATAACTTCAAGCAACCTCAAGCACATTCGTTCACAAAAATTTACAAAACCAAGCGAGCAGAGTACGAACAAGAGGAGGAGGTGTCAGGCTGCGTGCAAACACAGCAGGTCCCCAGGGCCTGGCAGAAGATGACAATGCCAAGGGAGACGCACAGCCCAGCACCATCAACTTCTGCACTTCGACACGGCACTACTGCACTGGAGGACCAGCTCAGCTGCTCACCAGGGTCCACAACGAATAGTACAAATAAGGATGTGGAGGGACACAAAAGGTGGCTGTGAAAGGCTGCCGTGCTGCTCGAAGCTGTGGTTTGGCTCGGAGAGGTCCAACCACTTTCAGAGAAGCTACTGACTTGTGGTCAGAGACACAAAACCGTCTTCGCAGGGTAGAGGAAACCACGGTGCTTTCCTGAATGCATAACGAAGAGCAAGAGCTCTCCTGGCGATGCTTCTACATGCACCTCATCTGCTCTGCTTTAAAAAAAAACAGCCTCGAAAACAACTTTTGTTAGAAAGCTTGACCCCTCAAAGTGGATGGAGGAGGAAGGTGTCAAGGGACGACAACTCATGCCACCACCCCAGGCAGGGCCTGACCCAGCACACCTTCCCCTCAACTGCTCAGCGGGGTGAGAAACGAGCAGTTTTTAACTCGGATGTGTTACTTTACCACCTCTCCAGGCCAGTTTCACAAGTACTGTGCAGGCTACCCCGCACGCTTCCTCCTCCCGGCAGCATTCCGCTCTCCGGAGCAGGGGACACCTATTCCTGGCACGGTGCGTGATTAGCTGTGCACAAAAGAGCTTCAAAACAAATATTGGGGTGGCTTTGCCAAAATGAAAGCCCAGGAAGCCTGCAGGAGGGTATAACAAAAATGCCAGCCTGTAGAATTACCCAATGCAACGTTTCTAAACACAGTTCCTTTCAAAGGAGACACCTCTGCCACAAGAAAGCCACGAGGTTTGCAACATCGCTGCCAAATGGGTGCGTTTTCACACTACTGTAATGCTCCCAGGTTTGGGGATTTATTTATTTATTTTTCAAATGTAATCTTTTAATTAGTTAAGGATTTAAAATAAATCTCAAGTGCTGATACGCAGCTTAAAATTAACTCGGTACGACTTCAAGAAATTAAATCCTTTTCATAATCCATTAGGACTCTGGTTGAGCAACACATCACGGTAACAACTTTTGAAACTCAGAGTTGTATTTTACAAAAAGTTAGTCAAAAAGCTGAATTTGAGGATTCCTATTAATACGCTGGATGGCGTTGACTAGAAGCACACTCAGTATCCAAGTCCTTCAACAGGTGGTAAGTTGACCTTACCAAATGAAATCCTTCAGTGCTTTCATGCATCCCAAATTGGAAAAAAATGACAGATGAAAAGAAAAAAAAATTGTTATTAAATCCAGAAGGGACAGATGAGTGGCACAGGAAAACCGTTCCTAAAAATGATAGTTTTATGAATTAATTTGACTGTCCTACGATTGCTTCTCTGCCAGAAAAGGACAATTGGTTGCAGGAAACAGCTCGTGGATTATGGTAAAAATATCAAGGAGAACAGCTGCTTCCCCCAAGCCATGGCGGCGCTCACTAAGATCACCATCGAAAATAGGGAAGTGGCATCAAGTTGCACAAGCAAAAGCAATTCCCCCGCCCTTACTTTGCAGAAGTTTGAGGAAGGAAATCAGGTGACAACTGCAAAGTCTGAAACACGAACTGACTAGTACCTTTTCTCTGTTGGAGAGCGTATTCCTTTTTTTCTTAGCTAAGTTGTCTGTTTTCCTTACAACAAACTCCAGTCGAGTGAAGTTTAACGTGCTCTGGCCGCTGAACCTCCACCGCTGGCTGCAGCAGCTGGTCAGGCAGGAGGCAGTTGGGAGAAAACACTGCAGCAGGATGTAACACAAGTGCATCGCTCTCTTGTGACCATGACAAATGGACATTAGTCACCCAGCAAACCAATCAAGGCATCCAGAACTAATTAGGAAGATTCCGAAAAGTGTTACTTCCAAAAGGTCTACTGTAGTGTCACGGAATAAGAGACTTTAAGGCATTCACAACTACATACTGCTTTCAAATCGGACCGCTATAACCACTGCCTGTGCCCTCCAAATATTCCTCCGCGGTGCTCCTGTTGGTGTTTTATCACCTTGGGAGCTGCAGGGCTGTGACATTACAGCAGACGTTACCGGCTGCTACAGAATGGAGACAAAGGTCCGTGTTCTGGAGTGCCCAGACCTCAACGACGCACAAAGAGGAGGGAAGAAAAAGGCGGTGACAGACAGGAACCCTGCACAAAGCCAACCCTGCCGGAGCAGGGCTTGAAAAACCACCGCGCTGCGTGGCCCCGGCACGTTTGGCACTGCAGCTGAAGGCACGGTGGGGAGGGTTTGAGGCGCGTGGGCAGCTGGGTGGAGCGGGCAGCGATGGTGAGGTTTGTTCCACGCTGCTGGGAGAGGAGCTGCAGCAGCTGGAGGACTTCATGGTTCGCACTGGGC